TAAAGTCTAGGTCTGATTTTTTACATACATTGCTCCAAGCTGGATGTAACTAATTATGCATAGCTCAGACCTGATTGCAGTGGAAGCTGTAAATCAATGTAATACTCAGAGCTACTACAATTGTCACTGCTATCTTCCAGACCCTGTGCTGAGCGGGTTCCCTGCTGCATATTGATTACAGGGGGTCACTCACTCAGCACCTCCTCCATTATAAAACACTTATTTTTTTTTTTTTGTATTTCAATGTTTTTATTTTATAAACAATTTAGGAAGACCGGAAGCAACAAAACACTCCCACGCAGGGGCTATCAATTGCACATAAAAAAAACCAGTGCTCTAACACCAACAGAGCAAAAGATGCACCCACGCAGGGGCTCTCAATGGCACATAAATGACAAAAACATAGGTATAACACCCACAGTAACTCAAACCAAAGGCAGCTATCCACTGCCACACCAAAAAACAAACAAAAAAAGAAAAGGAAGGAGGAGTACAAAAGGAAAAAGATAAGACAAAGAGCAGGGGTCCGAGAATGCCAATACCAAGCAACATCACAACCCCAGACTAGCCGGGGGGGGGGGGGGGGAGAGGCATATGACAACCACGGCTCCCAAATGTTCAACAATTTCCATTGTGAGTCGTTACAGATACTCAACATCTGTTCATTGAGCATCATAGTGGTCATATGGTCCTGCACCCCTGAAGAGGGACAAACGGGCTCTTCCATGCCTGAGCAATTGCTCTTGTGGCCGACAAGAACAAATAGGAAACCAAATTCTGCTGGTGAGTCAAGAGGCCCGGTATGGGACAATGAAGAAAAGCATACCAATCATCCCGGTGTATGGAGAGATGGAACAAGGTGAAAAAAAAGGCCAAACACACGAGACCAAAAACTACACTTTTTCTCTTTAATGAATACAAAGTGTTCTGTGATAGGGCAGAGTGGAGCCCCCTTGACATCATCTTCCCTCCTCTCCACCTTGTCAATCAAAAAAGACTTGTATTCATTTAACGCAAGTCAAGTTATGTGAATGGTAGCAGTACCAAGTCAGCAAATGCCTGTAGTTACTGTGTAGAATGAAAGCCACTAGACACAGTATAGCTATCAATGTAGTAGTGCTGATGATTGGCAGTTTCCACAGTGATACAGTGATGGCTAAGGTATGGGATATGCATGCTTGCATTGGTTCAACTATGCAAAACAAATTGTTTCTGAAGTCCAGCTTTAAAGTGGTAGTAAACTTTTTTTTTTTTATACTTTTCACCCACAGGTAAGCTTATAATAAAGCTTAGCTGTAGGTGAAATTAACATCTCCTAAACGTGCACCATATAGAAGATATTTGTTTTTTTTGTTTTTTTTTAGAGCCACCCTGCCGTTCCTTCAGAGCACTGTGCTCTGTCCTGGGACTCACATGTACATGTGTGGGAGTGACGTCATCGCAGCTCGGCCCGTCAGACCACTGGAGCTCTCATACCTGGAAGGAAGATCAGGTAAAGATGGAAGCCTCTGCAGCGGTGACAGCGCTCCACTGGAAGGCTTCATTTTTAAGTAAGTCCTTCATAATATGCTAGTTATAATGCATACTAGCACATTATGACATTGCCCTGTTTTTTTTTTTTTTTAAGCTGTGGTTTTCTATAGCTTTAATATAACATATTTAAGGAGACATACGGTTCAGTTGTGCAGCAGACAGCCAGTTATATTTGTTGGTGAACCCTGGAACAATCCCTAGCTTGTGTGTCCATATCCTCTCTATCTTCTCTATATCACTCCCTTGCCCTGGAATAGAGAGATAAAGCAATTTGTCATCCACACTATATAATTTAGTTGTAAATAGGATGTAAAATGCCAGCAACTAGCAAATATAGGTATCTTTGATTGTACATTGCTGCAAAACTTTTCTTGCGGGAAGCCTGGGAGAGTAGATTTAGAGATGAGCGAAGTATTCAAAAATTCGATTCGACTGATTCGGCGAATTCGTGTATAATATTAGTGCTGAACACTGTACCTTTAATTTAAATGCCCTTGGAGTCTGCTGGGAAGAGAAATAATACTGTCAGGCAGTATGACATGCAGATGAGTGCCGTCGATCTTAGAATCACCGCACACTTCACTCATTTGGCCAGTCACGGGGCCAAAACCAGAGTGTGGAGCCACACAGTGTGGCGGTGGAGGCAGCAGCAATGGGAGGCCATACAGCACCCTATGACAAAAATGGAAACCACCAGCAGTGTGAGGAGACCTGAAAGTGGCACATGGCAGAGTGTGGCGATAGAGACAGCAGCAATGGGAGGCCGTACAGGGACCCATGACACACTCTGGACCTGGCAGCAGCATGAGGAGGAGCGGTACAGGGGCCCATGGCAGATTACGGGCCTGGCAGCAGCATGAGGAGTCGGTACGGGGGCCCATGGCAGATTACAGGCCTGGCAGCAGCAATGGGAGGCCGTACAGGGACCCATGACACACAATCTGGACCTGGCAGCAGCATGGGGAGGCGGTACAGGGGCCCATGACAGATTACGGGCCTGGCAGCAGCATTTGCATTTGGAGTCGGTACGGGGGCCCATGAGACACACTCTGGACCTGGCAGCAGCATGAGGAGGCGGTACAGGGGCGCATGACAGATTACGAGCCTGGCAGCAGCAACTTGGACAGGAGGACGTTCAGTTTCTGCACCGTCTGGTGCGTGCTCGCAAACTGTTGTCTCTTGGAAACGGATTCCAAGAAAGACTGCTGACGGAATCCGTGAAGAGGAGTAGCAGGAGAAGGAGCATCTCTGAACGAGCGGAATATGCCAACAAGCGACAACAGGGGCCCATGACAGATTACGGGCCTGGCAGCAGCATGAGGAGTCGGTACGGGGGCCCATGGCAGATTAGGGGCCTGGCAGCAGCTATGGGAGGCCCGTAATCTGCCAGCACCCTATGACAAAAAATGGAACCCACCAGCAGTGTGAGGAGACCTGAAAGTGGCACATGGCAGAGTGTGGCGATGGAGACAGCAGCAATGGGAGGCCGTACAGGGACCCATGAGAGACTCTGGACCTGGCAGCAGCATGAGGAGGCGGTATAGGGGCCCATGGCAGATTAGGGGCCTGGCAGCAGCTATGGGAGGCCCGTAATCTGCCAGCACCCTATGACAAAAAATGGAATACACCAGCAGTGTGAGGAGACCTGAAAGTGGCACATGGCAGAGTGTGGCGATGGAGACAGCAGCAATGGGAGGCCGTACAGGGACCCATGAGAGACTCTGGACTTGGCAGCAGCATGAGGAGGCGGTATATAGGGGCCCATGGCAGATTAGGGGCCTGGCAGCAGCTATGGGAGGCCCGTAATCTGCCAGCACCCTATGACAAAAAATGGAAACACACCAGCAGTGTGAGGAGACCTGAAAGTGGCACATGTTTGGGGCATGATTCATGGCGGATTTAGTCAGTTGTGTCAGGAACTGGTGGTTTGAAATCCAGACTAATCCACGCCTGATTCATTTTCACAAACGTCAGTCTCTCCACACTTTGGGTGGACAGTCGTGTCCTCCGCGGAGTTGCAATACCTCCTGCCGCACTAAACACGCGCTCCGATGCCACGCTACTGGCCGGGCATGACAGCCTTTCAAGGGCAAATTCAGCTAGTTGGGGCCAAAGGTCAAGTTTCGTTGCCCAGTAGTCAAGGGGATTGTCTACCTCGGTTGGCAGGGTGCTGTCCAAGTAGGCCTAAGCCTGTTGTTTGAGGTCCTGCTCCAGGTCCACCTGATGCTGCTGCTGCTGCTGCTGCTGCTGGGCTGGTTAGTAGTTTCCTCACTGCGCTGGTGAAGAAAGCTACTCATCATCGACTGCAGACTGAGGCAGCCGCTGCTGGTGGAGCTGCCACTGCTCCTACCACCCCACCCCTCCCCTGCTGCCATGGCAGCGGAACGCGAGCGCACAGGGCCCACAGTGTCTGAGGATGGACGTTGGCGCAGACAGGCAGAGACCAGCTGACTACATAGGTGGTTTTTTATAGTACGTTATTTTGGCCTCCCTCTCAGCAGGTGTGAAAAAGGCCACCATTTTTGAACGGTAGCGAGGGTCCAACAAGGTGGACAGCCAAAAGTCATCCCTCTGTCTGATGGTTATTATTCGGCTGTCGCTACGCAAGCAACCGAGCATGCTATGGGCCATTTGTGCCAAGGAATGCGAGGGACTCCCTGCCTCCATCTCCACAGCATACTGCCACGGTGCGTCTGGGTCCTCTGTCTCCTCCTCCTCCTCCTCTACCAGATGCTCCTGCTCCTCCACTCCTGTCCGCTGAGTGGAAAAACCACCCATTTCACTCAATAATTCCTGAGCACCAATGTCCTCCTCTACCTCCTCCTCTTCTTCCTGTCCTGCCCCCACAGGGGTCATGTGGCGTTGAGATCTGTGCGCCACGTCTACCGCACCCTGACCAGCCATTGTTAACAGCATTTGTTCCAGGACGTGCAACAGAGGAATGACGTCGTTCATCCCATAGTCCTGCCGACTCACGAATAGCGTGGCCTCCTCAAAGGGCCTGAGCAAGCGCAGGTGTCACGCATGAGCTGCCAATGGCTGACATCTAAGTTACACAGGGAGTACCTTTATCCGCTTTTAACATCAGGAAATCGGTGATGGCCTTTCGCTGTTCGTAAAGGCGGTCTAACATATGTAGGGTTGAATTCCACCTTGTTGCAACGTCACAGCATGAGGAGTCGGTACGGGGGCCCATGGCAGATTACGTGCCTGGCAGCAGCAATGGGAGGCCCGTAATCTGCCAGCACCCTATGTCAAAAAATTCAACACACCAGCAGTGTGAGGAGACCTGAAAGTGGCACATGGCAGAGTGTGGCGATGGAGACAGCAGCAATGGGAGGCCGTACAGGGACCCATGACACACTCTGGACTTGGCAGCAGCAGCATGAGGAGGCGGTATAGGGGCCCATGGCAGATTAGGGGCCTGGCAGCAGCTATGGGAGGCCCGTAATCTGCCAGCACCCTATGTCAAAAAATTCTACACACCAGCAGTGTGAGGAGACCTGAAAGTGGCACATGGCAGAGTGTGGCGATGGAGACAGCAGCAATGGGAGGCCGTACAGGGACCCATGAGAGACTCTGGACCTGGCAGCAGCATGAGGAGGCGGTATATAGGGGCCTATGGCAGATTAGGGGCCTGGCAGCAGCTATGGGAGCCGTAATCTGCCAGCACCCTATGTCAAAAAAATTCTACACACCAGCAGTGTGAGAGGAGACCTGAAAGTGGCACATGGCAGAGTGTGGCGATGGAGACAGCAGCAATGGGAGGCCGTACAGGGACCCATGAGAGACTCTGGACCTGGCAGCAGCATGAGGAGGCGGGGTATATAGGGGCCCATGGCAGATTAGGGGCCTGGCAGCAGCTATGGGAGGCCCGTAATCTGCCAGCACCCTATGTCAAAAAATTCTACACACCACCAGCAGTGTGTGTGAGGAGACCTGAAAGTGGCACATGGCAGAGTGTGGCGATGGAGACAGCAGCAATGGGGGGACAGGGACCCATGGAGACTCTGGACCTGGCAGCAGCATGAGGAGGAGGGGGTATATAGGGGCCCTATGGCAGATTAGGGGCCTGGCAGCAGCTATGGGAGGCCCATAATCTGCCAGCACCCTATGTCAAAAAATTCTACACACCAGCAGTGTGTGAGGAGACCTGAAAGTGGCACATGGCATGGCAGAGTGTGGCGATGGAGACCTGCAGCAATGGGAGGCCGTACAGGGACCCATGAGAGACTCTGGACCTGGCAGCAGCATGAGGAGGCGGTATATAGGGGGGGCTATGGCAGATTAGGGGCCTGGCAGCAGCTATGGGAGGCCCGTAATCTGCCAGCACCCTATGTCAAAAAATTCTACACACCAGCAGTGTGTGAGGAGACCTGAAAGTGGCACATGGCAGAGTGTGGCGATGGAGACAGCAGCAATGGGAGGCCGTACAGGGACCCATGACAGACTCTGGACCTGGCAGCAGCATGAGGAGGCGGTATATAGGGGGCCTATGGCAGATTAGGGGCCTGGCAGCAGCTATGGGAGGCCCCGTAATCTGCCAGCACCCTATGTCAAAAAATTCTACACACCAGCAGTGTGTGAGGAGACCTGAAAGTGGCACATGGCAGAGTGTGGCGATGGAGACAGCAGCAATGGGAGGCCGTACAGGGACCCATGAGAGACTCTGGACCTGGCAGCAGCATGAAGGATGGGAGGCGGTATATAGGGGCCTATGGCAGATTAGGGGCCTGGCAGCAGCTATGGGAGGCCCGTAATCTGCAGCACCCTATGTCAAAAAAATTCTACACACCAGCAGTGTGTGAGGAGACCTGAAAGTGGCACATGGCAGAGTGTGGCGATGGAGACAGCAGCAATGGGAGGCCGTACAGGGACCCATGAGAGACTCTGGACCTGGCAGCAGCATGAGGAGGCGGTATATAGGGGCCTATGGCAGATTAGGGGCCTGGCAGCAGCTATGGGAGGCCCGTAATCTGCCAGCACCCTATGTCAAAAAATTCTACACACAGCAGCAGTGTGTGAGGAGACCTGAAAGTGGCACATGGCAGAGTGTGGCGATGGAGACAGCAGCAATGGGAGGCCGTACAGGGACCCATGACAGACTCTGGACCTGGCAGCAGCATGAGGAGGCGGTATATAGGGGCCCATGGCAGATTAGGGGCCTGGCAGCAGCTATGGAGGCCCGTAATCTGCCAGCACCCTATGTCAAAAAATTCTACACACCAGCAGTGTGTGAGGAGACCTGAAAGTGGCACAAGTGGCACAGACAGCAGAGTGTGTGGCGATGGAGACAGCAGCAATGGGAGGCCGTACAGGGACCCCATGAGAGACTCTGGACCTGGCAGCAGCATGATGAGGAGGCGGGTATATAGGGGCGAGTATGGCAGGGTTATTAGGGCAGATTAGGGGCCTGGCAGCAGCTATGGGAGGGAGGCCGTAATCTGCCAGCACCCTATGTCAAAAAAAATTCTAACACACCAGCAGTGTGTGAGGAGACCTGAAAAGTGGCACATGGCAGAGAGTGTGGCGATGGAGACAGCAGCAATGGGAGGCCGTACAGGGACCCATGAGAGACTCTGGACTGGCTGGCAGCAGCATGAGGGAGGCGGTATATAGGGGCCCATGGCAGATTAGGGGCCTGGCAGCAGCTATAGGGAGGCCCGTAATCTGCCAGCACCCTATGTCAAAAAATTCTACACACACAGCAGTGTGTGAGGAGACCTGAAAAGTGGCACATGGCAGAGTGTGGCGATGGAGACAGCAGCAATGGGAGGCCGTACAGGGACCCATGAGAGACTCTGGACCTGGCAGCAGCATGAGGAGGCGGTATATAGGGGCCTATGGCAGATTAGGGGCCTGGCAGCAGCTATGGGAGGCCCGTAATCTGCCAGCACCCTATGTCAAAAAAATTCTACACACACCAGCATGTGTGAGGAGACCTGAAAGTGGCACATGGCAGAGTGTGGCGATGGAGACAGCAGCAATGGGAGGCCGTACAGGGACCCATGAGAGACTCTGGACCTGGCAGCAGCATGAGGAGGCGGTATATAGGGGGCTATGGCAGATTAGGGGCCTGGCAGCAGCTATGGGAGGCCCGTAAATCTGCCAGCACCCTATGTCAAAAAATTCTACACCCTCTATGTGTGAGGAGACCTGAAAGTGGCACATGCAGAGTGTGGCGGGAGACAGCAGCAATGGGAGGCCGTGGCACCCATGAGAGACTCTGGACCTGGCAGCAGCATGAGGAGGCGGTATATAGGGGCCTATGGCAGATTAGGGGCCTGGCAGCAGCTATGGGAGGCCCGTAATCTGCCAGCACCCTATGTCAAAAAATTAACACACCCAGCAGTGTGTGAGGAGACCTGAAAGTGGCACATGGCAGAGTGTGGCGATGGAGACAGCAGCAATGGGAGGCCGTACAGGGACCCATGAGAGACTCTGGACCTGGCAGCAGCATGAGGAGGCGGCGGTATATAGGGGCCTATGGCAAGATTAGGGGCCTGGCAGCAGCTATGGGGAGGCCCCGTAATCTGCCAGCACCCTATGTCAAAAAATTCTACACACCAGCAGTGTGTGAGGAGACCTGAAAGTGGCACAGGGGCACAGTGTGGCATGGAGACGATGAGCAGCAAATGTGGAGGCCGTACAGGGACCCATGAGAGACTCTGGACCTGGCAGCAGCATGAGGAGGCGGGTATATAGGGGCTATGGCAGATTAGGGGCCTGGCAGCAGCTATGGGAGGCCCGTAATCTGCCAGCACCCTATGTCAAAAAATTCTACACACCAGCAGTGTGTGAGGAGACCTGAAAGTGGCATCATGGCAGAGTGTGGCGATGGAGACACAGCAGCAATGGGAGGCCGTACAGGGACCCATGACAGACTCTGGACCTGGCAGCAGCAGCATGAGGAAAGGCGGCTAGTATATAGGGGCCCATGGCAGATTAGGGGCCTGGCAGCAGCTATGGGTAGGCCCGTAATCTGCCAGCACCCTATGTCAAAAAAATGAAATTCTACACAACCAGCAGTGTGAGGAGACCTGAAAGTGGCACATGGCAGAGTGTGGGCGATGGGAGACAGCAGCAATGGGAGGCCCGTATACAGGGACCCATGAGAGACTCTGGACTGGGCCTGGCAGCAGCTATGAGGAAGGCGGTTATATAGGCGGCACATATGGCAGATTAGGGGCCTGGCAGCAGCTATGGGAGGCCCCGTAATCTGCCAGCACCCTGGTCAAAAAATTCAACACACAGCAGAGTGTGAGGAGACCTGATAGTGGCACATGGCATGAGAGACTCTGGACCTGGCAGCGCATGCATGAGGAGGCGGTAGGTTATATAGGGGCCCATGGCAGATTAGGGGCTCTGGCGAGCAGCTATTGGGAGGCCCGTAATCTGCAGCACCCTATGAAAAATCAAAAAGAATTCTACACACCAGCAGTGTGTGAGGAGACAGCATGAAGCAGCATGTGGAGGCCCGTACAGGGACCATTAGATCCGGATGTCAGCAGCATGAGGGAAGATTAGGGGTATGGCAGATTAGGGGCCAGCAGCAGCTTAGTGAGGCCAAAATCATGCCATGCACCCTATGTCAAAATTCAAAACCTCCAGCCCTCTATGTGGATTCCTTTTTCTGGTACATGATTGTAGTGCAATGAGTCTCATGGGCAGGGACTTTAGTCAGTCTGGTGTTCGGAATACACTGGTGCGGTGTTTGATTAATCCAGACTACGTCCCAAGGCACTGATGCACATTTCTCACTACCTGCAGTCTGCATCCGACACAATTTGGGTGGACAGTAGTGGTCCTGCCGAACAGAGCGACAAATCCTCCACCGACGCTATATGCCAACGAGACACACAGACGTCGCACCATTTGACCAGTATAACATGTACCTTTCAAGGGCAAAATTCAGTCCTTCAGTTGGGGTTCACAAACGGTTACAAGTTTCGTTGCCCACAGTCTAGTCAAGTGGGGATAGTACGTACTTACCTTTCGGTGGGGGGCAGGGTGCTGTCCAGAAGTATGGTAGGGTCCCCAAGACACTTCTGATTTGGCGTCCTGCTCTCAGGTTCCACCTGATGCTGCCTGCTGCTAAGCGGAGCGGCCAGTTAGCTAGTAAATTTCCTCACTCCCGCTGGTGAAAGAAAGCTACTCTCATCATATCCAGACTGCAGACATGAAGCAGCCTAGCTGCTGCTGGTGGAGCTGCCACTGCTCTACCACACCACACCCGTCCATACCTCCTTTTACAGAGCCATGGCAGCTGGGAACACAGATGCGCCAAACAGGGCCCACAGTGTCTGAGGACATGGACGTAGTTGCGCGCACAAAAGCGCAGAGGACCAACGCTGACTACATAGGTGGTGTTCTATACTAGTACGTTTATGGTTTTGGACCATCCCTCTCAGCACAGTGTGAAAAAGGCCACCACTTTTGTGAACGGTAATCGGGGTTTGTCCAACAAGTGTGTTACAGCCAAAAGTCATCCCACTGTCCTGAATGGTTTATTATTCGGAGCTGTCTGGCTACGCAAGCAACCGAGCATGACTATGAGGCCATTGTGCCAAGGAATGCGAGGTCGACTTACACACCCCCCCCTGGGTGCCTCCATCTCCACCAAGCATACTGCCACGGTGCGTCTGGGATCCATCTCTGTCTCCTCCTCCTAACCTACCTCCTCTACCAAAGAATGCTCCTTGCTTTCACATCCCCTCCCTGTCCGCTGAGTGGAAAAACTCACCTCATTTCACTCTACATAATTCCTTGAGGCATACCAAATGTCCCTCCTCTACCGATCCTCCATCTTCTTCTCCTGTCCTGCCCACCCACAGGGGTCCAAGATGGCTTTGACGATTATGTTGCACGCCACGTCGCTAACTTCGCCACCCTGACCACCATTGTTAAAAGCATTTCGTTCAAGGAGCGTAGCATACAGAGGAGATGATCGTCGTTTCATCCCACTAGTTCTATGCCGACTGCAAACGAATAAGCGTTGGGGCCAGTCTCGACAAAGGGCCTGAGGCAAGCACGAGGTGGGTCACGGACATTGAGCTGCCAATGTGCTGCACGCAAAATCGAAGTTGTACACCGTGGGTAGTACCCATTTATTTATATGATATATATAAAATTCCGCATATGTAACATCATGAAAATCAGGTGTGATTACATAGGAGCCTTCATCGCTATGATTCCGTAAAGGCGGTATCTTAATCATGTTGTTAGTAGTATGAATTCCCACACCTTCGTTGCAGTCAAAACGTCGCACAGATCAGGCGTCTGATGCTGTGGGATATACCGATATCTGGTCTACATGCCCGCTGCAGCATCAAGGAGGGTAGTGCATTTTGCGCGGTGTAGGAATGGCTGAAATGGCAAATCTGCAATAGTTGTACGTGAACATTTTTAGTGATGTCTATGTATCAGTGGAATGATGGTCTGGATTTTTTAGGAAACCAGCCTTCCAGACATTCCAGAATTGTAACACGTGATGCCATGCCATTGGCGCATGTGCAAAACAAAAACCTTCCTGTTTACGCAGCGCACGCACACCATAGTTCTTTTTCCAGTTGGTCGGTCAACATGGTTCCGATTTTCAGTGTGCGCGGGAGACAGCACATCTGTCGATTTACTCTGTTCATTTCACTTCACGAAGTTCATCCCCTGTGTGTACTTCGTTCGCCAAGGCATTACAGGTGCAGACACAGCGTGACACCGTTTTTCGTGCGCCAATGCACATGTGATATGCTTTGCGCGTCGGGTATTGGAGAACTTGGGCACTGGGGGTGGCTACTTTGTCTTGGGTGGCGGCTTGAGGACACGGCGGAAAGAAGAATTTGGTCCGGTAGAGCAGCGTGGACTATCGCTTTGCCGGACCAAGGACGTGCAAACGGATGGAGGCAAAGATAGTGGCTGTGAACTGTCCAAGTTGCTAGGTGCGGCTGTGTTACGGGGCAATTACTCCCGCACGTTCACCCCAGTGGGCGTAAATGACATGTACTGTCCCTGCGACCATAGTTACAGCTCCACACGTCGGCGCTGCGTGCACTTGGCAGAGATTCCGACATGCTCAAAGACTGGACCCACCATGTTTAATCTTACATGTGATATGCAGGCCTACTAGGGCAACTGCCTTTTTGGCGTAAGAAATGACGGCTTGGCACTCTCCACCGGCGGCGTCGGCAAGCAAGCTCTATCGAATTCCTGTTTCCTGAAGGTGCTGAGTTCCATCCAGTATTGAATAGAGGGTACAACGGGACTGCATCGCACACAGCAGCAACATTGGACAGATTGAGGACGCTGTCAGCTTTTGCACCGTCGGGTGCGTGTGCCGCGCGCAAAACTGTTGTCTCTTGGAAAAGCGGATTCCAAGATAAGACTCGCTGACGAGAATCCGTGAAGAGGAGTTAGATTAGCAGTAGAGAAGGAGCTATCTGAGACGGAGCGGAAGATTGCGCCAAAAAAATTCAAAATACTCACTGCAGCGACAACTACCGCTCAGCAGAGGCTGTTGGAGCCTTGATGACTGGATGATGGAGGGCGATTGACGGCGTCGGTGTGACGGAGCATATGTAAACGGTTTTGTTGGAACGGGTGATGTCGAGGGCGGCGGGTCTCGGGGAACGCGGGCAGCCTCACCGCTCTCACCCCGTATCATTTATCACGGTTTTATTCCCAGGCCACCAAATGGTGACGCTGCATATGCTGCCTGCAACGCTGTGAGTCCCACACATGGGTACATCCTGGGCCTACGCCTTGAACACTTTCTGGGCCTACGATAGTCGTACATACGGCTAACGTTTAATTCTCTCGGGCACTGGACTTGACGAAAACAATTGCCCACATCACGTTTACGAGTAGGGTACTACTTTGAGAGATTGGTTGTTTAGCCCGTACTCCTGTCACTGTGCTGGGACTGCTGACTTCCTCCTTTTGTGCGCAACACATTGGCACCACTATCTGGCCGTATTGTGGTCGGTAGGCTGCCTGAGTGCGGAGCTGCATGTGCTCTACTCCGTGGAGAATCCGTTTGGCTCCTCACTGACCATGCCACGGACACTGCGTGCGACCGCTAGCCTGTGTGTCTGATGGGCAATCAACCCACGACTTGTTTTTGCTCTCGCTGCCAAGCTGCACAACCCGCTTCTCTGTTGATGCGCGGCAGAAGAAAGTGTCCACCTGATGGACGACGTCGCGAGGCTCGCCAAGTGCGTATAACCTCTTACCTCATCATTTTAACAGTAGGTCGGTCTCCGCCTCAGACTACTAGCCCCCTCGGTGCGTCGCTGGGTCTAGGAGACCAGTACCGGTAGCTAGACGGACTAACGTAGCTTACGACTGCTCTGCCACTACTCTCCTCAGCCAGGCTCGCTAGGTGGGTCGCCTGATCTGACTGATAAACGAGCGGATGTCTCTCCCAGCGTTTCCTGAACACGCTCCACTTGTTAGCCTGTATTCAGCTC